GCTTAAAGCCTTTGGAAGATGATGATGACGTGTAGGCAGCTGGATCAGCAAATTGGACCGGACAATCCGATATTCTTCGGTTCAATGATTGGGCACTCGCAACAGTTTCGGCCCGTCTGCTGCTGGACAGGGGTTGAAATGGTGTCTGCGGCAGGTTGGAAGGCCGCAAAATTTCAGTGTCCACTCGGCTAAAGCTCCTCCTCTTTTTAGTTTTCCTCGTTAAACTCCTTCTCTCAACAAGTTGGTAAATCTTAGCCTTTAGCAGAAAGACGCTTAAAACTTTTTTCGGTGAATTTATGATCCTGTTCCACGTCATGGTTATTCTCTATGCCTGTTCAGATAAATTAGTACTTTTATTTAGTTTTCTCTACTGCGCTAAATCAAACGAGTAGATATAAGAAGTGATTTTATACGCGCTCGAATAATTGAAAATTCGATAAACATTTAAGCGAATATCTGGAAACATCTTTACGATCAATCGCCGGTGTGATGCTAGGTTTTCATTGCTATGACGACGACTGAATTAAGGGCCTTAGAAGCAGAGAGGTAAAAGTCAATTCTCTTAATCGATTTCTTCTTTTGATTACCATGGCTTCACTAATATATTTCGCACAATTTCTGCTATGCTCGTCAATGCCACTTCGATTTGTTTCGTCTAGAAACGATTCTCTGATGACTTTGTTGAGGAAGCAGCATATGCATGTACATAATTGTGGATTTGTTAGTTATTTCGACGGTTTTGGACAATGCTGGACATTCACCACTTTTTCAATTGTTCTTGTTGAAAATCAACAGTATTTGCATTGCTATCGATGCGTGGAAATATTTCTGATCGATTGAGGATAAAATTATTGAAATTAGTTCATGGGCAGCTGAGTTATTAACGTTCAAAATCTTTCATAATTTCGTTACATGTTCCATTTCCGGTTTTCACAAAGTGTATCCCCATATAGAAATCGCAGTTCAATTCGGTGACAAATCCGCGAAAATCGAGGAATCCGCGAAAATTCAGTGTTCACTCGGCTGTCGACAGAAGCAGGCTACTCTCGATCAAGCGATCATCTGTTTGCTCGGCAGCAACCATTGTATGGTTCACCTTATCGTTCTTCATCAGCACTTCTTTCGGTTAATGCGTCGTTGACTTTAGAAAGGAACCGTTTAGTGATGAGTGTGACGTTTTGGGTCCATTGCTGCAATGGAAGCGTTCTGCACCCCGTTGGCGATACTGCCATACAATGAAACCACTGACGGCGGGTCCCCTTCTGATGGAGGACGCGTTTTGGATAGCGGAAGATAACCAAATTATGCATCGGGGATGCTGGTAGACCCGATCATATTCATTTGTTATGAAACTGAATATTTTTGACGCGTACCGTCAAATAAATAACCATTTCTCGCGCCAGTTGATAAGAATAGAGTTGCCCAGATGAAAATTTGAAGGTTTTAGCACATGAAATGATGATTTTAGAGAATCATTATTTTTAATATTAATTCAATCTTCTGATCAAAGAGTTGGCATTATTTACTGACCCCGATTTCTACTCCTCAGTACCCTCTGACTCCGACAGCTATATATATTCGACATGTCACATTAAGATAGTCATCTAGCTCCTCAGCATCAGATTTCATGAAAAATAAATCTATTGACAGATCTTGTAGAAGCTTAAGCATGCATATTAGGGTGGTTCAAAATATCGATTTTGCTCCACCAAACTCAAACGAATCCAAATCAAGTCCTGATCACTTTCCCAAAGTTTCAGCTCATTTGGTTGCGATCTCATATTACAGTGGCACTTTTAAGTTTATATGGGAATTACTATGAGGAAAGTAAACATTTTTTGTTCTCATAGGATAGATCGTCATAATGGTTTAGAGCGAAGCTTTTATTTATAGTTAATTTTCTCAACTGCAACTTTGCTGAAGACTCCTTTTTGATTGAACGTTAAGAAAATTAGCTATAGGCCCTTAGGCCTAATTTTGGAAAGTGAAAGGTTGAACTTTGAAATTCCTGCAAGGAATGGTTTTCGAGATAACGGAGAAAGCCTGGGAAAGCTGATGGGCTAGCGTACTAGGCATTACAAGGAAATAATTAAAGAACAAAGGGACCAGTAAGAAACCAATGGAAAAAGCGAACACAAACAAATCAAAGTCTCCCATCTTAGCACCACAGTAAACACTAAAATGATAATTGCAGTCTGAAATAATCAGCGTGTGAAACGTATTGATTGCCTATCACACTTGCTAATGGTAATTTTCAAATTGAACGATTCTCACTAATGGATTTGCTTTTCTAATAAACTTTCCCATACAAATGTTGTAGGAAAGCAATCCTCCCTTTTTTCTCTCTATCTAATGACCCTGGTAGTGACCTATCTCAGGCGGCGGCGTTTGACTCGTCATCATGCAAGACCGATAAAGAAGCAAAAATATACTAACTTTCTTGGGGCGATAAAGGTGGAAATACACGGTTCAAGTCAGTTGGTTTAATTCATCCCCGATCTTAAGCGACTTGAAACCGAATTGAAAAAGTTGGGCTTCAATCATCTTCCTTGACGTTCATTTCGCAGGTGACCGTTGAATTGGAATCGTCTAAGCCGGGCTTAATGCGATCGGATGGGATGATAGCAATGCTGTTCAGTGCTCAGCCTACTGCGAGGCTGCTGCTAACGATGATGCGCGATCGTAAAATAAAGCAGAGTTTTGCTGTGGTGCTGTCGATCGGTGTGGGATGAAAGTGGGTCAGCAGCAGGCTATGGCTGATGTCTATCATGGATGGTACCCTCCCTTTTTCCTTTCCGTTGTATTCGCAATGGGCTTCTTAGTAAGTGCGTGTACGCATGATAGCTCAGCTCGCCCGCTGCTAGATAAACTGAATCAAAAAGGTTGCCTCAAGTTCCGCGGAAATAGGCACGCGGGAGTTTTTTTCTTTAATTTTATTTGAGTTACAGTTAGAGTAACTTTAAAGCCGTTAATTGGTTGTTGCTCGAAGCGATTGAAGTGGAATGTTTATTCGTTTTGTTAGCTTCATAAACACCTACCCAATAGATTATCAGTTGTGTGACGTTGACCACTTTGCTTGTGCTACGAAATACACAGCGTGACGCTAAAATATACCTTTAAATATTTTGCAATTTAAGTTGCTAACCAATGCTAATAGGCAATACCCCCATTGCAATGCATCTCGTAGTTTATTTCAAAGACGAATACATTTGTATTGAAAAAGTTGACAAGTCATATTGGGCTAGTACTAACATCAAGAATCAGCCATACGTGTGACTCAAACGCGGTCGATACATATTGATTATCAACAACCTACGCTTTTACAGTGCCAGATAACGGGCACTTGTTAAGTGTATTGATTGGTAAAAGTTGATATGATAACTCTGAAATAGAAACCGAAAGTCTCATTTGGCGCTGCCATTATCGATTACACTCAGCGGCAAATTTCCATCACTCGAAGAATACTTCACATTCCTAATTAATCAGCACCATTCCATCTCCATAAATCGAAGTCAGCACAGGAAACAAGCTGCAATCTAAGCTTACTCCACTTCAAGGTCATTCGCATTCGAGGTCCGCTGAAGATAAGCCGAATGGCCATCATCAGAGTAGTCGGTGCTCGGAGTGAGAAAAACATAAACACCAAAGAAGCCAGGGAAAAAATCGTGCATGCAAATAAATTTAGCACGCCAACAAGTCGTTGGCACTGGCGGCGGCTCCGTTGATAGGCCTTATTTCACGGTAAAATGGAAAACATTCTTGCAGCAGCAGCGGCAGTAGAAAAACCGCTCGGTAGAGAAAGGCTCTCGCGGGATCCTCCCCAAAGTTATCCGCCTGTTCCGTTCCGTTCCTCAACGGTTGAATGAAGTTCATTTCTACAGTTTCGGCCGGTGTTCCCCCGGCTTACTTGGATCCGACCATTGCCAAGCCAATTGGATTTTCCTCCACTTTACTGCTGCTGCTGTTGTTGTTGTTACTGCGCTAGGGTACCATCGGGCCGTACCGGTTACGCTTTGGTCGTTCCGGAGCTGTTGTTCTACCTTTCCTTCCATATCGTGCGGGAACTATATCCGACGAGGAACTCTATACCTTTCACTGATTGGGAATGGAAATTTATACTGAAATGGAAATTTGTACGGATACCCGGCACAATTTCGTAAGTCAATTTCATCGTAAAAATGAGATGTAATATGGAAAATTCGCAATGAAATCTTGTAATGTTCGTAAAATTTGATTACAAATTCCCATCAAACCCAACAATTTTTAAAGATGTATAGTTTCCTTATTTTGCAATCTAAAAACATTCGAAGAACGCACCTGGTGACCGTCGTGCCTCGCGCTATTCGAGCGCGTTTTGACTCAAAGCCGCATGAGATTAAAATATGCTGATAAATGTCATTCACCGCTGCTGCTTCCCTTATGCGGTGTCGTCGTGCTCCGTGTTGCGAAGATCCGCTTTTCTGCCGCCCATTATTGCTCTGCTCCTCCACCATCAGAGTGTAACGCGAAGAACGCGGCGTCAGCAGAACTACGTAGGCTTACTTTCGTTCTTCGCCACAGAACACGACAGAACTTTGCCTCGATTCGAACCCAGCGCAGAAAGCAGGCCATGGCACCAGCGACGTATATAGGACCGACCGTAGCAATACTAGTAGGCATGGAAGCCAAAAAGTGTATACGGAAAATTATAGTTGCTGTCTTTCTCGAGTTCCCCGGGGCCGGGGCCCTTCGTGAGAGCAATAAATTTAGCGTGTGTTGAAAAATTAAGTGCTATTCCCGAACCTAGGCACAATTATTCACATGGAACCAGGGGCGGACATAGAAAGCTTTTCGATGAGGAATTTGTAGGCCCATAGTCGGTAGTTCGATGTCAACAAACTTTGAAATATGTGAAGTGCTTGAATTTATTTCTATAGTTCGCAGGAACTTTCATTTATGTACCACACGATCCTTCTTAATTAGGTTAAACTAATTTTGTATTTTTCCTCTTCTACTTACAGAACATTTGAAAAAAAAAACACTTCGACTGTTTGGGAAAAACTCCGATCCTGATTCAGCAGTAAAAGTTCCACTGCTACTAAAAGTAAGTTGCACCTGTCCGAAAATAGTGTTTGTTACCGAAAGGAAATAGATCTCAAACGAGTGAGTGAAAAGTAAATTAAATTTTAAACGGGAGAGTGCAGCAGCCGTTTTGCAGAGAAAAAAAAATCCAAGTGCGAGTGTAGCAAAAAAAAAACGTAAAACAACGTTTAAATTTTGGGTGTTACACAAGAAAAGAAGAGCAGTCGGGAAAGTAACCGACGACGAGAGCTAAATTTTCGGAGTGAAAAGTGTGAACATAGAAAATTGGAAAAGTTTTTTTTTAATTAAAATCAACGACTTACGTTAGTAGCGGAGAGAGTCGCAAGCAGTAGCACCGGAATTTATTGTCTTATTTAACACGTGGTATTTTGTTTGTTTGTGAGGAGCAGCGTTAGTAAAATACACCACGTAGACATTTCGTCGTTGACGTCATCATCTTTGTGATTGACAGCTAGCTAAAAACAGCAGGACGGTCGCCGATCAAGGCTTGCTCAGGTGAGAGATTAGGTTACAGGAATTTACATCTTAATGAATTTCGATGCCGTAATGAGCTTACGATTTGTTTGCTACAGTACCTTCCCGTTTTATTTTTCTTAAAAACTGCGATCCATTGAATGCTTAATTAAGTTCTTGATCTTACTACAACATTCTTCAGGGATCAGAGATGGCTGGTAATTTATGAACAGTTCTCAACGAATCTCTGATGTTAAACTGTGGAAAGTATTATTTAATGGAGTCGTGTTGACAAAAATGGAAAGGCACTGTACTTTGTTGGGAGGAAGAAAAAGCATAAGAATGACGAGGACATCATTTAATAAGCGCCATCATTTTTGATAATGTGTCTTCCAGTTTTTTTATCTGCAAGAACGTATTTATAGAATTGTATTTAGAACTTATGTGCGTCATCTTGACTCTGAATAAATATTAAATCACATCATTCGAGCAGTTATGAATGACATTTCCTACCACTTGAACTTTACCACGGAGCATTATTATGAAATTCTTTCTTCTAGAACCACGAGAAAATAGGGTTTTATTTATGAAAGGACCAAAAATCTTAAAATGTATTGCCTCATTGTTTTAAAATCTCTGGTAGAAGGTCGTCTCGAAACTACTCGATTATATGATTAATTGTGCTAATCATGTTTAACCACGGTTGAACTGCACTGTACCGGCAAATTGTGATGACGATAGCATTTGGTAATTCATTCCTGGAACCCTCAAACACACAACACGCTTCATTGTCAAAATAATACTTAAACTGTTACCTTCTGTGTTGCACAACCTTTGTGTTCAACTTTCATGGTCGGAAGACAGCAGCAACGCCATGTGTGAACGCGTATTTGATCGTTTCACGGTTGGATGAAGAAAAAAAATGCTACGGCTGCAGCAGTCTGTTAGTGCTGCGATGAAGAAATCGCGAGAAAACAAAAATTTATCTCATTTGCACGCCTTTTTCGGAACACACAGAGCTGAGATTATGTCTTAAGACTGCTGCTGTGAGTGAAATATGCAAGCGCATACGTATCGGCAACAGGGGTAGGACGTGGAGCGGAAGGGATTACCTACGTACGCTTTGTTGCGGAGTTGATCATATTTTTAGGTGATTGCATCATTTGCATCCATGCTTATTTATGGCAATGGCAAATGGGAACAGTTTGAAGTTGGAAATTGCAATTAGCTTTGGTATTCACACCTATATAAAAATAGAAATGAACGGACTCAATTCAAAGACATTGCTTCGAAGAGTTGCCACATTTAAAATTGCAGTTTTTCAAATTATCCATTTTGATCCACGCATCACAATCGATTCTAAGGCTGTGTTCCATTTGGTGAATTTTCACTTACATTTGACACTTCGAAAATAAATTATAATGTTCGAAAATCCCCCTGCTGATCATCCGATTTTCAAGAAGGTGTTTGTCAAAATTTATTCCTACTCTGTCAGAAATAAGTCCGGTACAATAGCAGGTTTATTTGAAAATATTCCATCTGTCAAATTTAAGTGAAAATTCACCGGAACGCAGCCTAAATCAGACCCTGATCATTAGAGAGGGTCTAGTGTAAGAGATGAGCGGATTCAAAACCAACTGCATTGGCAACCTATGCCTAAGTAATTTCTAGCAACACTGTCAATTCGCTGCTCGATTGGCTCTGGCTTTGACAGTTCGTTTGGCTCAAAACCTGCCAGTCCGCTTCTCTCTTATACTAGACCCTCTCTACTGATCATGATCCTAAAATATGATTTCATTCAGTCGGATGAAGGCCCGTATGGTTTCTTTCATTTATTGGATTCGGAGCATCGAGTTTGAATCTTTGTTTCAAACGGACTCAATATTTCTGAACCATCTTGCCCCTTAAATGCTGCACAGCAGGCCTGGTCGTTTTTATATATTTTGGCGCCGGTGGTGTAGTGGTATGCGTGATTATCTCTCACCCCAGCAGGCACGGGGTTCAATCATAGAGGTAATTCTAAGACTAGAAGGTCCCGAAATAACGTGCTCAACTTTTTGTCTCAGCTCTGGTACTCTCTTCGGTCCCAAGCTAATCGATTCACCCCTCAAAACATAGCAAAAACCAATAACCCCTCATTTTATCTGTCAAATTTCATAGCGAATCAAAACAAACATTGCGTAGTACTAGAATTTCGACTAGAATGGGGTACGTTAATCGTTTGCTTGGGACCAATAGGCTAGTCAAGTAGTGAGCCAATTTAAAATCGTTAGTTTCGTATTGATTGTTGGTTCAATCCCAGTCGGCGCCACCGGGATGTTTTAAGGCATAACATCTCTGATCACGCCTTGAGGGAAGTAAAGCCGTTGGTCCCCGGTTCATGAGTTGATGGGTCGATAGGTAGGATCCAGGTGTGCCCAACAAACAATCGTCTATTGAAGAAACGACTTCTTGGCCATTTTATTCAACTGCATGCTTAATAGTATTTGTATTTTGACTATATGTTTTTAGTATTACTTCTACGTGAAGTCAACGATTTACATAGTTGAAGATGCTAATTTCAAATAACAGACTGTAGTGGTAATTTTTATACGATAGATGGAGTAGAAGAAAGCATAGAGTTGATAGTTCCGTTAGAGTACGGCAGTGTGAAGATTGTATATAGATATTAGAATAACGAACTAGGACAACTTTTAAGGAAGGTACAAATCGGTTTTTTCATCTCTCTTTACCAAACTCCCCCTTTGGAGAGGGATGGTGAGGGGTGTCCCCCCCCACCACCGATTTGTACCTTCCTTAAAAGTTGTCCTAGTTCGCTATTCTAATATCTATATACAATCTTCACACTGCCGTACTCTAACGGAACTATCAACTCTATGCTTTCTTCTACTCCATCTATCGTATAAAAATTACCACTACAGTCTGTTATTTGAAATTAGCATCTTCAACTAAGTATTTGTATACTATTTTTAATAATAACTTCTGTTTAAGCTTTGTTCACACAAATCTGAAGAATTTTTTCAGCCACAACTATTTGGTGTTGTATAAGGTATGTCGAGGAGCTTTTATTCGAGTTATATGAGTTGTAACAGAGTTTATACGATAACATTTTTGATTATTCAGCGTTTTTTAGACATCACTGCTTCCTTAAAACAGTTATGCTCTTGATTCCCATGTAAAGTAACGTTTAATTAGACATTATTATACATTTATTAAACGATTGTTCAACTGTGGTCAAAATGTACCCGAAAATAAGAGGGACGGGGACAAACACAGGGAAGGATATGTTTCTTAAGTGATTGTTTTCATTATTTCTGACGTGGCTCGCAACACACAGATATTAGAAAATTTATTAAATACTTATACATGTCTCGTTGCATGGGATTCGAACCATGTACCTTCCGATCACCAGCCGCTTGCCTTGTCATCTGAGCTATCCTAGAATTCAAGCTGAACATTGCATTAGGTCTTAAGTTATATGGACAGATTCTCTTTGTCGACTTTCTCTTTGTATTCCCACGGCCATGTTAATACATTCTCAGCTATTTTCAGCACATAGATCGATAAAAGAAGCTTTTATCTAGCATGTACTACGACAAACACAACAAGAAACGGTTATTAACGAAAGAGAAAGTCGACGAAGAGAATCGATCAATGTTACTTAGGACCTAATGCAACTCCTTTAAGGCCCTGTAGGAATGATTATTTCATTCATCGTTGTTTTACATGAGACCAATGTTACCTCTTAATCTCTCCAATTCCAAGGAAAGGATGCTCGGTTATTTTTCAAACTAGATCAATGCATTCATTGTCGTGAGTAATTTGATCGATGATCAGTGCGAAAAACAGTCAGGTTCATTGAGTCATTTTGATATGAATATGAACTGCCATCTGCCTCATCATTCATTGCCTCGTGAGAGTCTGAATGATTCAGAGGTAAACGAGTCACTGACAGCCGAGCACTCAGTCAGTAGCTCAGTCAACACGTTTATTCTGCCGTGATGGTACCCAATATTTGTTTTGAATGACTGAGCGTGCATTTTCTATGGAAAAATGACTCAATTACATGCTGTGTGAGTGAATGCAAGCGGTGTGCGTCGCCTGCTCGTGAGTGACTGAATGTTTTTGTTGGCTCTTTCATTGCCTCGTCCTTTACCGTTTGGTACAAACGGTCTGCACAGAGCAATGGATTGAATAGTGCAGTGCTTTCACACTCAGCCTAGGCAGTCAATAATTTTAAGCTCTGTCGATGATTACTATTTAAATTAATTTGACGTAGAACGCAAATAAAAAAGGGTTGAGCTTGGGATTGAACTCACGATCTTCTACTTGGAAAGCGGAAACGGTAACCACTACTCTACTGATTTCGTCTTGTTGTTAGACAGAACCATGGTTGTCGAATAATTAATATAATACGTCAATTATAAAGCATTTACAAATCTTGTGATTGCAACATGGACACATACTGGTATAAGAGCTATTATGCTGACTGCATTCACCTTTATTCAGCAATATTGTAAAGCTATGCAATGAAATCTAATAATGAAGCTAGAGACCATTTATTAGACGTCTAATAAAGCATGTTATTAAATCAATTGAAAACAGTCGAATTAAAGTGTCAATGTATGCGCAAATTGCACTTATTCAGGTTGTTATTAAATCAAACTTGAGGCGTTGAATTGGGAAGACATTTAACGCTTTTACAGCTTTTAATAAGTAAATTAATCAGATCAGAACAAACAGTGGAATAAATGTGCATCTATCGATCTCAATGAGCTTTTTCAGCCCATAATTCGACAACTCGTTTTATTCAGCATTGTACGCTGTTATACAGCATTTATTCAATATATATGCTTATTTGTGACTCTGAATTGTTTGTTGGGCGGGAGCTGCCTCCCTGACGTTGGTAGCATTGATGCTCAGCACGGAAAACAAGATCGACGAAAAACAAATCAAGGAAAAAAAAGTTTTTACAACGATTTTAATTCAGCCTTTGTTTGAATAACTCTTGTACATAGTCCACGTTAACCTTTGTTCAGCTT